TGCTGTCCTCTCCAGGAGCAGCAAGCCCCGAGGTGAGGAGTCAGGGTGCCCCCCGAAAGTGCCCTCCCTGCACTGGACCTTGGAGCCTTAAGCAAGTTACTTCACCTCTCAGGTCTCCATCTCTCATTCCCCAAATGGGGTGATGACAGAATGTACCCCAGTGGGGTTTTTTTTTTGAGAATAAAATTTAATCTCCAGTAAATAAATAAAATAAAATAAAATTAATTAATTAAATAAAATTTAATCTCAAGTTAATTGAGCATTTGGTTTAATCTAAAAGCTCATCAAGCCAGATGTCCAATGCCAGAGATATTTTAAACCTTTGGTAAAAGTTGACTCTGCTTGTGCTCTAATGGGAGGAGGGGAGCTAGGGAGGAGCCACCCTGTATTATGGCCCATTTTCCTTCTCAGTCCCTGCAAGTTGTGGGAATTGTAGACAGGAGGAAATGGCAGCATTTTTCAGTGCTAAAAAAAGACCTGCCACATACTCACTTGGTCCATGAGTCAGTTCATTTTGTTTCCTCACCGTCATTGTCAGGTATTTGCTGGAGGGCTGGGCTCAGAAGCCACAGGGCAGCCCAACCCAGCCCCAGGGAGCCTGTAGCCCAGTGGGAGTGAGGTAGGAGCGCTCCAAAGTCTCCTAGCAAGAGGTGAGCCAGAAAAGCTTCTCAGTCAGTGTTCCTAGCATCAGAGCTCAGCGTTGATGGCTGAGCACCAGGCTTTCCATTGATGGAGCGAGAAGAGAATGGGAAGTAGTTGGTGTAAGATTAAGAGTATGGGGCCTCCCTGGTGGTGCAAGGGGTTAAGCACTGTACTATGGAGCAATCCACAGCCTCTGCAGCATGAGTTCGATCCCTGGCCAGCCAGAGAGCAACCCACATGGCGAGGCAGACCTCTCCTGTCTTGCCCGCTGCTCCCCTCAGCAGTGTACTTCAGTCAGTCTGCCTGTTCTGTTCCCCACTCTGTCTCTGGTGATTCCTCTCACCCCCCACACCTCTGGCCTGTACCCCAGCTCTTGTATGCATAAATAAATACATCTTTTTAAAAAAAAAAAAAAAGAATTAGAGTGTGGGCTGGAGTCAGGCTGCCAAGGCTTGAAGCCCAGCTCTGCAACTTCATAGCTGAGTACTATTGGATGAGACCTTTAACCGCTTTGTGCCCTATTTTCTCATCAGTAAAATGGGGATCATCAAAGCATGTCCCAGAACTGTTGGGAGAACTGAAAGTGACAAACCAAGTGTCATATATAGGGCCAGGCAATAGTGAAGGCTTAAAAGTGTGAATTCCATCAATGTCATTTATTCACAAACTAGTCATAAGACACTGTATCAATGACTCCATCCTTCTTGGCTGGGCAAATTGGACCAGTTGAAATCATCTCTTACGTGCCCAGCAGGCTGTGTTTTAGGGTTTGTGATGCCCCTACTCAAAGATGGTGCCATTGCCGTGCAACCTACCCGCCTGCCATCCTGCCCCACTGCCGTTCTCAGGTCTACTGGCTGGGTAGTCTCGGATAGCCCAGCTTTCACCCAAACACATGTTCTAACTGATTCTACACAGCAACTTCCAGATTTGGATGTGCCCCTGTGACCTCCAGCATATGGTCTGAGATGAGGGGTTACAGCTCCTGAAAAACCCCACTGCAGGGCAGGCGGTAGAGGGTAGGACTGAAGAGGATGGCAGCCCCATGGGAGCCTTTCATGTGGCCCATCTTCAGCTCCCACTGAGTGGATTTCCACAGAGCGGAGCTTTGACCACTGTTAATAACAGTTTCTCAACTCAAATTTTCTGAGTTTCCATTTCCTCCTTTCTGAAATGGGAATAGTTGTCCCTTCCAATCAATAACCACCTTCTCTGATTCACACTGAAGCAAGACCTCTGAGACCCAGGGAGTAATGCCTACAGATTCTCCTGAAATAATAATAGTGTAAATCCTAAGAGCAGTTGTAAAGATTAAATGTGACAATTTATAAAATAGTGTTTTACAACCTGCCCCTGGCACCCAAATTCCTGCCCCCCCCCACCCCTGTAATGCTAAGTGATCCTGATACCTGTTCTTGTTGTTGGGGAGTGAGTGGGAAGAAAAGGAGTCTGTTCGCTCAGCTTCTGTGCTCTGGCCTCCATCACCAAGTGGTGGACCTAAGCTTCTGCCTAGCAGCAAACAAGCAATTGCATTTAATTATGAAACAATTAAGTAGCCATTTTTTAATTAGCTACTTAGAAGTATTCTAAGGAGAATATTTTAAGCCATTCTGATCTTGTAGTTAAACTTGCCTAAATTGTAAATGATGCTAATTACCTTCCAATTACTTCCCCTCTTGAGACTCAAGAATCTTAGGGGAATAGGTCTAGGAAGGCCGGTGCAGAGCTAATGATGAGATTTGTGGCCGTTCAAGTCTCCAGACATGTAAGCACCCACTGTGTGGTCCACAGCCTGCTCCATCAGGAAAAGCAGAGAACACAGGCAGACTAAGCAAACAGGACTAGGCAAACAGCAGTAGCCATGAATGTAGCTGTGACTTTCTGAGTTGGGTCTTTCCCCTGGGATAGAGGTCACAGGCTGGAACACAGCATGCCAGGCTAACAGGTACAGTGCCCTATTACAACCCAGGTTGTCCTGTCAATCATTACCTCTGAGCTGGGAGCATAAACATGAATGGTTTTGATTTTTCAACAGATATCACCAGCAGCGTTCTGATTAGCTTGTTTCTTACCGGGATGGAGAATCTTTAATGACACCAATGTCTGATTCCAGAACTTTCCAGCAGGTGTACCTGCCTATTTGAAACCATCAATCTCATGTTCAATTGGAAGCCTTCCCTCCCTACAGTACAGGATGGGAGTGGGAAGGGAGCAGAGGATGAGGTGGCAGGGAAGGGTAGGCTGCTCTGCCAGTGCACCCCTTCTCCCTCGCAAACAACTAGCACAAGTGCCCACCTGAGTTGGCTATCCTCTTCTGTCAGTCGTTGCCTCTGACCAGAGGTCATTGTGCGGTAGTGCTAACAGACCCTGCTGATCAGGGGATCATTCCCAAACCACCCCCACCCCAGGCTTCGGTGAGGGTTCTTCCCAGATACAATTGCATTTTGGGGCCGACTCCAGGCAGCGCTTGCCCCAGTGAGTGAGCACTGCCTGTCACAGCCCCAAACTCAGCTGATGGCAAGACTGGGAGGCATCTTCAACTCCCCTGAGAAAGGGAAGGAAGTCAGTGTGTGGGCTCAGTGCTCTGTGCCTACCCCCCAACTCCCACCCCAATGCCTTCTCCTGACACCTTCTCCCCAGCAGGCTATGGGAGAGCAGAGAGAGCCACTCCAATCAGCACCTACCCATTCCCCACATACAAAAAGCTAAATAGATATCAACAGGGGCTTGGAAAGACTGCTGCAGCCAAGCCATGGACCCTGTGCACCACTCAAATAACACTGAGCGGCCTTCTGCCTGGGCTGATGTGGAACGACACACTGTTAAGAAAGAAGCAAGGTTCAGGGCAGCACATGGTGTGGTCCCATTTGTGCGCAAAGCAAAAGAGCAGAATCCTGTGAATCCAGAGCCAGATGTGTGTGGCGGTAGAGCACTTCCAGAGACCTGCAGAGCATTGCTTGCTGTGGTCCCTTCTGGAGGTGGAGATGGAGGGTATAGAGCATGGAGGCCCTGTAGTTTTCCTCCACATGTGTTTTGAGTTTGTACCTTTAGCACATATTGCTTCACTCCAATGAATGAACTCTTTCAAAAAAAGAAATGATAGGAAAAATATGTCCTAGTCCATTTGGGGTGCTGTAACAAAATACCACAGACTGGGTGATTAAAGAACAATAGATATTATCTGCAGAGTTCTGGAGGCTGAAAATGTAAGGTCAGGGCATCAGCACATCAGAATCCGTAACAGCCTCTTCCAGGGTGCCAACTGCCGACTGCTCGCTGGACACTCAGATGGTGGACAGACGAGAGGGAGCTCTTGGGCGTCTTCCACAGGGCACTAACCCCATTCATGAGCCTTTGGTCTGTATTGTAAGCTCCCAGGGTTGACTTTTCTTTGATGACAGATGCAGCCATAACAATGGGGCATCCTCTTCAAAAAGAGCTAATTCAAGCGCATTGCCAGCTACAGCTAGAGAAGGGCAGACTCCTGCCCAGTGAGCCTCCTTCTGTTTCACAGACCCTGGCTAATTTAGGCCATTGATCAGCTGGGACTACCTTGTCTTTTCCTTTTTCCTTCTTTCTCTCTCTTTCCACACTTTTAAGTCCCTACTTTTATAAATTGAATGCACTAATAAAGAGTAAGCCCATAAATCCTAGACCCTCCACCCTCAGCCCCATTGAAAGCAGAACCCCAAACACACACACTCTCTCTCTCTCCCTCTTCCCCCAACTGGTGCCCTCACTGTGGTCCAGGTGTACTGTATAACGTCCAGGTTTGTAGTTTATAAGCCTGTATTTTCTCAGTTTGCCGATGGTTATTGCTGAAGGGCATCTTGCAATCATATGAAGAACCCTAAGGGTGGGTCCAGTTGTATTGTCTTACAAAGAATGAAAGCCTGTGGGAAATTACCTGACCCCAGGTGAGTGTCCCTAGGAATTTTTAACCATTAGCATTATTTTAATAGACTGAGGCGGACAAGAAACATGTCCCCATGACCTCCAACATCACCCCCAATGGCTCCTAATGCCATCATTTTGGGAGTTAAGTATAAACCTATGAAGGGGGAGGGGCACATCCAGACTAGCCTCTTCCAGGCCATTCAATTCAAGCTTTTCACTTCCCCTCATCAACTCTATCTGCAATGTGACTGATTTTCTGCCTTATGTTTCAGCTAAGCGCCCCATTTCTCGGTGTATTCTAATTATGGGCAGAGTGCAGGGCCACAGAGAAGGGTGCTCTCTTTACACAGAGTTCCAGTGCCAAGTAGCCCCAGTGCAGCAGGAGGGGGTAGATGCCGACTCTGGGACCCTTGATTCCCCTTCAATCAAAAACCTCAACATCTTTTTTTGTATTCTTGCAGATCACAAATGCATCCAGGCGGAGGCTGACGACGAACATGGCTTACTCAGAGAGCCATCAGATCCGCGTGTCCCAGCAGGACTTCCGTCTCTTCCGCACCCTCTTCCTGCTCATGGTCTCCTTCTTCATCATGTGGAGCCCCATCATCATCACCATCCTCCTCATCTTGATCCAGAACTTCAAGCAAGACCTGGTCATCTGGCCGTCCCTCTTCTTCTGGGTGGTGGCCTTCACGTTTGCCAACTCAGCCCTCAACCCCATCCTCTACAACATGTCACTGTTTAAGAATGAATGGAGGAAAATTTTTCACTGCTTCTCGTTCCCAGAAAAGGGAGCCATGTTTACAGACACATCTGTCAGGAGAAATGATTTGTCTGTAATTTCCAACTAATTAATTTTTCTCTCTAGGCAGAGTTTGTCGCTGTCCATCAAACGTATGTTGTCAAAGGGGCCATAATATCAGCGTGCCCGACTTTAAGGAAATGTAACCTCTGCAACTATACATTTACAGTACCAGTAAATTAAGGGGTCATCATTCAGAATAACCATTTTGTCTTTTAGAAAAAAGAATGTGCAATAGGTTTCTTTAAGTATGAACTTTGTATATGATTGAACTTAATACATTTTTATTTATAACTGTCCAGCAATCACATCTACATATAAAGCCACACTTTGCTGGTTTTCAAAGTGATTTTTGGAACTGACCTGAGATCTGGATTTCACCTCCAAAAGGTCATGGCTACTCTAGATCTCCACTCTGGACTTGCGAGGTGTCATGATCATTAATGTCAAGAGCATTGGAGGAATTTCCAAGGAGCAATTAAAGATGACTTTTTTTTTTTCACATTTAAGAACTGTGGATCCTTTAAGAGAAGCAGTGTCATGAAGTCAGAGAAAGTGGGGTGATTCCAACATGTTTGAGATGGAGAACACCCCCCAGCTGCCCCTGCAGCATGCACTGCGACTATGGTGCTGCAAATACAGCAGTGAACTAGACAGTCACGGCCCCTGCCCTGGTGGAGCTTACAGACCTTCTAGTCAGGGGAAGAAACATTAAACAGGAGTCAATAAATACTTTTGCATCATAAAGAAAGTAGGGCAGTGGTAGCAATTTAGATGCAGCAGGGAGGGGACATGGAAGAACTTTCTGATGAGTGATATTTTAGCCAAGAGATCAACCACAAGAAAGAACCAGCCATACAAATCCAGGAGAACAGAGTTTTAAAGACAAGCAGATGCTGGTACAGAGGCTGGTATGTTTGTGGAACAGAAAGAAGATGGTATGAGCAAATCAAGGCAAATATGGACCAAGAAATTTGGCACTGCTGTTGGTGCTGGGGTAGATGGGTGCCCTGCTGGGGGTCATGGGTTGAAAGCAGGAAAGTTACAGGTCTGCTTAGGCCCCATACAGGCCACCACAGGGTATTTATTCTGTATTCATTGGACAGTCACTGGAGTTTGCAACTGGAAACTGATAGGGTCTGATGTATGTTTTTAAATATTACAAAAAATGAACTTTGAGGAACCAGAATAAAAATGGAGACCAGTTAGGAGGCTGTTGAATTGAAAAAGAAGATGGGGAACATGGAGGTGGGTGGTATCACCAAGGGTTGGGAGAAATGATCTCAGGAAAGTAAATGCTATTTATAGATGGACAGGATGTAGAGTAGGAGGGAAGAAGAGGATTTAAGCATGACTTCTAGGTTTTTATCCTGCACTAGTAAATGGTGGGACAGGCAAACAGTGTGGGGAAATCTGGGAGAAAAGAGGTGGGAGAGCCAAGAGCTTCATTCAGGGCAGCCAAGCTTGAAAAAACCTACTGAGGTGCAAGTAGGGAACAGGCAGCTATTTGAAGGTATGTGGAGCTCAGGCTTGAAGCTAGTGTTGGGGGTCATTAGTCTTTAGAGGCCGACATTTTCATGAAATATCCCTGAGAGAAAAGGGAGGGAGGGGAGAAGAAACCAGAGCCAAAGAGAACCCAGGGACATGCACTTGAAGGCTGGATCAGTGACTGGAAAGTAAAATCAGTGCTAGTTGGTGCTATTGCTCAGGGAATTCTAGAATGGCTCCTTCCTACAGTAAGATTTATGGGATCCACTGGAGAACAAGAGGACAGGGATCTGTTGTTCATCTCTAGTTAACAGATTTGGTAAATGAAAGCTGTATTTTGAAGTGATGTGTGGCTATCTTAGGAATCTCTGGGGTGGTCCACCTGCAGCTGGAGAGCTGGGCTCTCACAGGCCATATGACAACAGATGACACTTCCGTACCTAGTCAATTGTCTCTTCCCTCTTTGGTGAGGGAACAAAGCACATAGGAAGGAGGGGCCCAAGAGTCTCCTTTGGGTCCTTGACATGCCAGCACCCAGGCAGAGATATCCACACATGAGAGAGGTGTAGCTCCTCCTTCCCTACACACTTTGTAGATGCCAGCCTGGGATCACAGAATTACACCTGGGATCCTCACTGCATCCCACCAGGGAGGTGCTGTTATCCTATATTTCACTAGAGAAGAGTGAGGCTCAGAGAAGTCATGTAACAAGTGCCAAGTCACACAGCTTTTATATAGCTCAACTGGATTTTAACTTACAATCCAAACTCTCTGATATCAAAGCCTGACTGTTTCAAGAGGAGAAACTGCAGCATCTGGGAACTCCTGGAAAACTGAAGTTTTGCATGTGATTATACGAAAGCCTTCACATGAGCTGCTGATGGTGTGAGACACTGGTGTTCTATCCTACTCCCAGCTACCAGACACCTCCTCCACCTGCCCATCTACCCATTTTTCTGCAAGTTTCAGGCAGGGGACACCATGGTCTTTCTCTAGACCTGGATTCCAGAACCCCATGTCCCAAGTCCCCCAGGAAAGCCCAAGATCTCTCCTCCTCAACATTTTGATCACATCTAGAAAAAGAAGCAAATTAAGTGCCAGAAGCAATGAAGGAATGGGGGTATTTCTGAGAGCTCACCTAGAACATGCCTCGCAACCTCTCAAACCAGCTGCAGGTGAGCCCACATCCTGCACACCTCATGGGCTGACTGAGGCCTGGGGCTGGCAGGCCCAGCCTATACCCACCTGCTGGCAGCTAAGGTCTTCCTGGGTGAACAGGGAAACTCCTTTTTCAGGAAGTTGGGAAAAGCAACAGTCATTGATAATGGAGATTAGGCACAAGAAGAGGCCAAAGGTCATAAAGAGTAGGAGGAAAGAAAACTTCCTGGGATATAAAAGTGCACCCTTCCCATGTGCAGAATTTCTCATTTGACACACACACTTGAACACAAAGACCCATTGCATAGGAAACAGATGACTGTGTTTTAATAAATCAAAATCTGGAATCTTAAGCCTCAAATGATTCCTTAGAAAACTCTAGTAACAATAGACATTTGAGTGCAAACAGGTCCACTTATTTCCACAAACATAAATTTTTTTTGTGTGTACAGAAGAAGGTTTTATGTTTGCTGAGGGGAGGAGAAGAGAGAGGGCCAACGTAAATTAAGATAAATAGAATTGACAGCTGAGAGTGAGTGGGACGTTTTTAGGTGAAACTTGACATCCTCGATGTTGCTACAAAAGGGTTTTTTCGGATCTGCTATTACAATGACCTGAAATAGAGAAAACAAAGCTATTCATGACAGAAGATGTACCCAATGTTTACTGTAGATAATGGATATCAGGATGGCCTTTGGCCCCAACTGTTCAAATCTTCTAAGGTTACAGGTTGCTGTGGCTGTAATTCATAAATAAACTCGAGGCTGTTTCTAAAACCTGCTGGATTTCTCTGGAGGCCATGGGACTGAGAAAACAGAATCTAGTGTATGCAAGTGTTCTTCTTCCTTATCTTACATTCGCCTCACTGTGTTTTAAAGGTTTCTTTTTTTTTAAATATTTATTTTTTTATTTATACAAGCACTGGGTACAGTCAAAAGTGCGGGAGGGTGAGGGAATTCACCAGAGCCAGAGTGGAGAGCAAAACAGGCAAAGCGACGAAGTTCATGGCTGAGGGGAGCAGCGGGCGGCAGGAGAGGTCTGTGCACTATGTGGGACGGCCGGAGATTGAACCAGCGCTCCAGAGGCTGTGGACAGATTCACAACCCAGCGCTCAACCACTGCGCCACCAGGAAGGCCCTGTATTTTAAAGGTTTCTATTGCAGAAAATTGGTGGAGGATCTCAGCCACTCTATTTTACAATGTTCACCATGTCCTGCATCATGTCACCAGGTGGCGCCGCCAAGGGCTTCAAAGTCACACAAATACAGAAACTGAAAAACCATCAGTTTGCATCCACCCAGTTACCTGGTGAAGATCTTGAGCAACTTTCAGTATCTTTCTTAGCCACCAATTTCTTATCTGCAGAATATGGATATTAAGAGACTCCACAGCATAAGATGTCCCTGAGGATTAAACTTGAAATGCAGGGTCTCCTTGGTGGCTCAGGGATTAGTCTCAGCACAATCGTGCTATCACACCATGGCCTGAATTCGATCCCTGGCCAGGGAGCTGACCCACATGGTGCAGCAGACCTCTCCTGTCTCTCCTGCTGCTCCCCTCAGCAGTGCATTTCAGTAGATCTGCCTGTTCTGCTCCCCACTCTGTCTCTGGTGAATCCTCTCACCCCCTATACCTCTGGCCTGTACCCCAGTTCTTGTATGCATAAATAAATAAATAAAAATAAATCTTAAAAAAAAAACAACTTGATAATGCAGTTAAAGGGTTTGGCCTGCACTCTGGTGCTGTTGGAATCGGTCACGGCCCTTCATTTAGGCTGCCCTAGGATGGAACATCAATATATCACCAATTCATGTTTTTGGTCTCAGTTCATGTCTGTTTGTCATAGTGTGTGACAGATGACCAACAAAAGAGTTCCTACATTTTAGCATTACCATATTAGGAGCTTATAACCTACTTTCCCACGAGGGAAAGTACGTATACTGTGCACTTACCTCCAGAATGTTCCCATTTTTATATCAAGAAAAGGGTAATACTTGGGGCCTCCCTGGTGGTGCAAGGGGTTAAGATGCAACCTATGAAGCTACCCCCATCCACTGCAGCACAAGTTTGATCCCCGGCCAGGGAGCTACCCACATGGCGCAGCAGACCTCTCCTGACTCACCCGCTGCTCCCCTCAGCAGTGTATGTCAGTCAGTCTGCCTGTTCTGTTCCCTGCTCTGTCTCTGGTGAATCCTCTCACTCCCCACCCCCACACCTCTGGCCTGTACCCCAGCTCTTGTATGCATAAAAATAAAATAAATCTTTTAAAAAAAAAAGGGTAATACTTATAAAAAGATCCAACGGGGGGAATCACAAAAAAATTGAGGAAAACCATGTAGACAATTTAGGGCTTTGGTTCCATATTAGAAACAGAGCATTTGTTGAAAGCCTTCTCTCCTTAACTTGTTATGGGGATGTCTCTCTCACCAATGGTTTCAATGGCTGACCAGCTTCTCACTGGAGTCACTCCATCACCAACATTAATTGTTAGGCAGTCAGAGGTGAGATCAGGGTGCCACAGACTGGGCTTCAGGGAGCAGGAAAAAAAGAAGAGCATGTCTCCTGCTGTTTCACTTAATTAAAAGTGCCAGGGTTTTGGCCTCTGCTTACTCCTCTACATCAGCCTCAAGATAACACCAGGAAAGAACTGATCAAGAAGGACCATGATTCGAGGATGGCACCAACACTCCACTTTCTCTTGCATGTAGATGAAACCACTTTCCTGGCCCATGGGCCCTGCCTCTCTGCCCACTGGACCCCAGTCCTGTCCCCAGTCACTCACCATTGTGAGCAATCAGCCTGTACTGCCTGGCCAGGCACAGCTCTTCCTGCCTCCGCCGCACGATTCTCTGCACTTCAGGGGGCAGGCCTTTGGGGTCACGGGAGAATATAAAGGAGTAGCTGTCGGCACAGGTGCCGTCAAGGTTTTGGAGGCGGCAGGAGTACTGCACAGCGTAGGTGTCATAGTCCGTGTCGATAATCCAGTGGTCGTCATCTGCAAGTCAGAAAGCCAAGTGCCAGTGCCTCTGGCTCCACAGACTGGGATGTCAGGGAAACTCACCTTCGGTGATGCCTGAGCATTTTGTTAAGGAGCAGAGGCCACAGAAAATTCTGACAACTTTTATAAAAGTTGTCACTAAGTGTCACTAATTAGCTGTGGCTATTCACTTCTCTAATGTAGGCCCCAGTTTGTTCACTGCTAAAATGAGAAACTTGAGCCTGACCCAGAATATAAAGCTATTATTTCATGATGAGGAGAATAACTCAGCAGCAATAATATCACACCCTGATAGAGACATCCTGTCTCAGACCCTGTTCTAAGAGCTTTCTGCATGTTAACTCATTACAATATAAATCACCTCCTTTTGAAGATGAGGAAATTGAAGCACACAGAGAATAAGGGATATGTCCAAGCTTCCCCCAGGTGGTAGGCTGAATTAGGATTCAAATGCAGCAGTATAACTTAAACTTTGCATGCCTAACCACCAGGCCTCACAGCTTCTTTTCTGAAAGGTAACAACAAAAGAATTGATCCTTAAGCCTTCCCTATTGTAGTTATCTCCCTTCATGTCTATAACAATCACTTTCAAGATTTCAAATTTTTTTTTTCCTCCAAATGAAATGCTAGAAAGAATTTCAATTTACCAGAGATAAGAACAGAACCATTCTGTCTTGGTAGGGGAGGAGGAGAAGAGGAAAACCCTTCCTTCCCATTGGGTTCTCTCTCATCCTCCCCGAATGTAGCACCCATAGAATCCTATCCCTGCAGCAGTGCATCCCAAAATGCTATAGAGCAGTAGGTATTTATGCTTGTACATAGAGTTAGTAATCTTGTACTCCCTGGAGTTCATTTTTGTAACCCATTTTACAAAGGTAGATATTTTATGTTAAATGAATCACTTTAGAAAGTTTTTCTGTATTATTTGAAATATTTTTTATTATTTGTAAGGATAAAAGTTTTTCCCCCTCTTCTAGAAAAGCACCTCCATCTATACAGTGAAATGAATACTGAAGATGCAATTGGATAAAGAATGCAATTTTAACTAATACAACTATAGAGAATGTCAAGGAGGTGTGCCACTAAAGATGGGCTGCATGAAGAACCTGTCTCTTCTCGATCACTGTGCTGAGTTCCACCCCAACCCCCCAACAAACTGAATGGCCCCCTCGGGCCTCTCCCACAGGAGACTCAAATAACACTTTGCAAAAGTTGCCCTGTATTAGGAGTCCTGCTGTTCAGAGCCACCTGATCCCGGGAGTGGAACGCCCTGGTTTCTGACATTGGCTCTTGTTGCATAACTTTGGGCACCCAACATATTTCTTTCCCTTGGCCTCGGTATATTCATTTGCATATTGAACCTACTTTGTAGGGTTACCTGTCTATGTTTAAGATCCTACAATGTCCTTTAGCCTACATTATTTTCTAGCTAACCAAACAGACTCCATATTTGAAATTTAAGAAAAATGGCAGGGGTGAAGGACGAGGTAGAAAGAGCATGTCGATGTTGTGTTTCCAGGATCCAGCCAAGTGTAGGGCCGGACTCTCTTCTGAGAGTCCCCAACATTCTGCCTACTCTCCCTCTCCCCCTGCATGACTTCTGGCACGTGGAAGAGGAGGAAGGAAGACTTCACTGCCCCCAGAACACGGTGCCTGGCTCAGCATCCCAGCCTCCATGGGCAGGTACCCAGGAGTGTAGCAACGCTGTGCACACTATTCCCTGTGTCCTTGGAGTGGAGTCTCCCAGCCTGTGCTGGGGTCCCAGGTACTCAAGCTGTCTCAGGGATTCAGCCCAAAGAAAAGGCAGAGAAGCAAAACCAGGTTGAGCGTGATGCGGCCTGGGGTACTTTTTAAGCTTGATAAGCATGAAGAAGGCTATACACCCTGTCGCAAGGCTGGGCTGGAAAATGGCAGGAAGAGGTCACCTGACCAGCCCTAAGGTCCTTTTGGGCTTCGGTCAGGTTTTTGAACTGGGGGTAGGAGGTTAGGACTAGAGAGGAGGCTAACTAGCTGCCCCCAGTCCCATGCCCCTACCCTCAGGCAGTGCTGTGGTTCCTGCCACCTACAAACCATTTTCCCTAAGGATGCCACTGAAGAAGGAGCACAGAGATTTGGCCTGGTATGCGCCCTTTTCCCAAGACGGTCCCACTGAACTGACTACTCACTTCCTTTCTGGAGAAAGGACGCAACGCCCCAGTACTTCATCTTGAATTTAGCAGGGTCGTCTGTGTCGGTGAAGGTGCCCACCATGTCTGCGCACACATCCCAGCTACTGCAAAAGCCCAGAGGATCCTGAGTCAGGCGGGGTGTAGGTTTCCTCCCTCCTTCCCATGCAGGATGCGCCCTTCCCTCCTCGTCCAGGGTTTGGCCTTCGGCCCCGGGCCCCCACTGACTTCAAAAGTCGGACTCGACCCTTGGCTGTGGCGCTCATCTGGCCATTCTGGTCCACGGAGAACTCAGTGATGATGTTGTCCTGCAGAAAGAGGCCCTCGGGGTCCTTCTTGGCCACGGCGTACCAGGTCCCGGAGAACTGGGAAAAAGACAGGGGCAGGGTTTGGTGCCCAGGGAAGAGGAACCACACGGGACCCGGCGCCTGGGGCTGTCCACACGGGTCGGGAGACCTAGATACCTACTCGAGCCTTGTCGAAGTTCTCCTTGACTCGGAAACTGCTCACCCGGCAGTCGCGCTCTGCCCGGCCGCTGCCCAGCGTAGCCAGCAACACGAGTGCCCACACCCACTCCATCCTGCCCGGGAGTCAGCCCTGCGGAGACCGCGCGCCGTCAGCGCCTGGCCGCGGGACCCTGCGCCACTGCCCGCGCACCGCCCGCACCGCCCGCACCGCCCGCACCGCCCGCACCGCCCGCAGCCCGCGCCGGCCGCGGCTCACCAGGGAGACGCGCGCAAGCCTGGCCGCCGCGTCCGGGCGCGCGTGGAGCACTGGGCGAGCGCGCCGCGGGGGCTGCCCCGCCGCTTTATAGCTCCGGGCTGGGGGGGTCGCGCTTTCGTAACCGCGCGGGGTGAAAGACCGAGGGGGAGGCGCCGGGGGCCGCGGGCCAGTGCTTGCATCACGCGCCCTGACTCACCGCCGCCTGGCGCAGGGAGGGTCCCTTTAGCCAGGGCCTCACCGCCAGTGCCGCCCGCGGCGTGATGGAGCTGCCGCACGGGGTGCCTCGGCGGAGCCCAGATTTTCCAGCGGCAACGTGCCCCCGGGCCAAGCGCTGGCCGGGTTACCCATCACTTGTGCCAATGCGCCCCACTGCCGCTTGGGGTGGCCGGGAGCCCAGATGCTCTGCTTGGGGCCTCAGGTCGCCCTGGCGGGAAGAACGCGGCCTCCCAGGCGAGAGGGGACCGCTGATGCCGCCTGGTGCATCGGTGCCCAGACCTCGGCTGTGCCAAATTACCCCTCCGCCCTCAGAGGGCCAATTGTGCGTGGTTTTGGGAATAGATGGGCCAAGGAGTTTTTCATTTTACAAAGGGTCTATTTTACTCTCTTTCGGGAGAGCTGTGGTGCCCTCTGGGTCAATATTTGTTCTTTAGTTTCAACATCTTTAGAAGCATTAAAGCCTCCCTGTTAAATATTCTCCAGAAACGCAACCCTGGTCAGCGCTGGAAATACTGTAGCAACCTCGGTGGTCGCCTACTTACTCTGCGGCACTTCCCTCAAACCACTTTGAAACACATCTACCCATTGTTTAAAATGCAGTTTTACTTCCAAGCCATAGAAGAATTTTGTTTTGTTTTCAAAACAGCCAAGGTAAATTGGCTGAGGAGTGGACAATAGGGTGGAGGTGAACAAAATCCTATAACGTCAATGGTCAGTTGCTGTGACTAGTTATTTTGCCTACACGATGACACAATTTACTGACCGTATTTTTTTCTTTCTGTCCAGAGTTAGAGTCTCTTTAATTGGATCAAAACAGTCAGAAGACACAGCTTTTTTTTGACTAAATGAGAATTATTAATATGGCAAAAAAATATTTTTGTAAGATTCCTTTCTGAATATCAGTTGTATCTTCATGACCAATCTGGAAAGAACTGAGATAAATTTCAACCATTTTACTGCAGTCAGCTCTGACATAAGAAGGTGGGGAAAAGAAGGAAGGCTGCCAAACAGAAATAAGGAGTGAATGGTCCTTAGACCAACGCTGTGCAGGGCATTGAGGCCACTTCTAAGCCACCAGAAAAGAGATCTGTGGCTCCTGAAACTTCCTGTTGGGCATCTCCCAACCTGGTTTCTGCTTCTATTTCCCACATTGCCCTCTCCACTGCTGTTCCCCATTTTAGGTTAGGTGTCTCTGAGTACCAAAGATAATGCACTTACCTTCTTATGTCCCCACAGCTAGGAAAGTCTTGTTTCTGGCCAACCAGTCAACGAAGAGACCTTTTGGTTACAGGCAATTTAACCATCGGCTATAGCATCTCAATCACCTCAAATAAGGTCTGTGTCAGAGCCTCTCTTGCAGGGAGCATGTGTGTGGCCATAGGGTGGCATCTCTACATACCCATGGGGGAAAGCACTGAGAACATTGCTCTCTCTCCTGCCCAGTGCTTGCATCCCCTCTTCGACCTTCCAGACTAGAGGTTTTCTAGCATCTGTTTCGACACCTCCAATTCTGGGACAGCCCCTGGCTGAGCCCAATTGCGTTCAGACAGTTATAACACTCCCAGACTTTTTAGTTTCTCCGACCACATAGTCTGCTGGCCTTTACCACATACCATATGGATGGTATGGATGTAGGCGATTTCAATACATTTTTATGGTGATTGTTTTTTTGGTGTTGTCCACAAAAAGCCCACTTAGTTATTTTGTTTGTTTGTTTTAGAGGCATCTGTTTTGTTGTTGTTGAAGTAACCTTGGTTCATACCATTATGTAAGATTCAGATACACATCATTATAAATCAAATTCTGTATATTAAAAGTCTCAATCCATTACCATGCCAGTGGCTCCTTTTAGCCAATTTACCCACTCACTGGCCCCTGCTGTCCAGTAATCACTTGATCATATACTCTAAAATCTTATTATTGTTGAATTAAGTTTATTTGTTTTGTTTCTTTATGCATGTTCATTGTTTTTATGACAATGTTTTGTTAGCGCTTTAAAGGTTGGTATAATTATTCTCCCTCCTCTCCCTCCCCCCCCAGTACTCCTTAGCAATAAATCATGAACCTTGATGTCCCAGACACTAGGAAAGAAAAACAGTTTATTTTGGCATTGTCTGTTAGATTTCTTCATGATTGCAAATACATGAATACAGGTCAACTGATGTTTTTAACTTCAGTTCTTTGAAATTTATCCTCATAAAATATTTTTCAAATATGCAAATATATAACATCAAAGGAAAAATGTTCACAGTGATTACCTCAGTGTGATAGGATTAAGGACATTTAAAGTTTTTTTTCTGGACTACATCAAATTAAAGAGCTTCTGCACAGCAAAAGAGACAATAACCAAAACAAAGAGAGACCCCACCAACTGGGAGAACATTTTTGCACACAACACTGATGATAAAGGACTGATCACAAAAATCTACAAAGAGCTGATGAGACTCAACAAAAACAAAGAAAATAATCCAGTCAAAAAATGGGCAGAAGCGCTAATAAGAAACTTCTCTGAAGAGGAAATGCAAATGGCCAACAGGCATATGAAAAAATGTTCAACATCACTTGCAATCAGGGAAATGCAAATCAAAACCACAATGAGATTACTCAGCATTTAAAAAAGATAAACACATGCAATTTGCAGCAACATGGATGGCGCTGGAAGGGATCATGCTCAGCGAAATAAGCCAGAAAGAAAAAGAAAAATACCAGATGGTCTCACTCATACCAGGAATCTAGAAAACTTAAATAAGGGGCCAGGAAAATGAATAACTGTAAGAAGGTGAAAATCAAAATCAACAAAAAACTATGAACCAGAGACACTTTTTGGGGGGTGGAGGGCAGGAGGGGAGGGACTGGGGTCAGAATGGGGGGGTTGAAATTGTATGGGGAATATAAAAATAAAATTTATTATTAATTAAAAAAAATAAAATAAATTCCCTTTGGGTTTTTTCTTATGATAAAAAAAAAAAAGAGATACCATCTTACACCAGTGAGAATGGCACATATTAAAAAAAACTAGCAACAACAAATGTTGGTGAGGTTGTGGAGAAAAAGGAACTCTCCTGCATTGTTGGTGGGAGTGCAAACTGGTCCAGCCACTATGGAGAGCTGTGTGGAGATTTATTGACCTACTAAACATAGAGCTTCCATATGATCTAGCAATTCCACTCCTAGGTATTTACCCAAAGGACACAGAAACATCAATTCCAAAGAGCACTTGCACCCCTATGTTTTTTATTTTTTTAAAGATTGATTTATTTATTTATACAAGCACTGGGTACAGTCAGAAGTGCAGGAGGGTGAGAGAATTCCCCAGAGCCAGAGGAGGGACCAGAGCAAGCAGAAGGACCAAAGTACACTGCTGAGGGGAACAGCGGGTGGCAGGAGAGGTCTGTGCGCCATGTGGGACCCTCCTCCAGTGGCCGGGGAGCAGCCGGGGATCGAACTGGCGTTGCAGAGGCTGCGGGCAGCTTCGCAACCCAGTGCTCAACCGCTGAGCCACCAGGGAGGCCCTTGCACCCCTATGTTTATAGCAGCACTATTTACAATAGCTAAGCTTTGGAAACAACCCAAATGCCCAAAAATAGATGACTGGATCAAGAAGATGTGGTACATATACACCATGGAATATTACTCAGCATTCAAAAAAGATAAACACATGCAATGTGCAGCAACATGGATGACGCTGGAAGGGATCATGCTCAGCGAAATAAGCCAGAAAGAAAAAGAAAAATACCGGATGGTCTCACTCATAGCAGGAATCTAGAAAACTTAAATAAGGGACCAGGAAAAAGAATAACTATAAGAAAGAAAATATCAAAATCAACAAACAACTATGAACCAGAGACACTCTATGAGGGGTCGGGGGGGCGGGGAAAGGAGGGGTTGGGGTCAAAGTAAGGGAGTTGTAATTGTGTGGGGAATATAAAAATAAAATTTTAATAAATAAAAGAGTATCAAAAAAAATAAAATTTTTTTCCTGTGTGCCTTTTTGTACTTTTCTGCAGTGAAAATGTTTAATCAGAAAATATAACAAATTTTCTCATTGCAAACATATTTCTTTTGTTTCTAGAAATAAAATGATATTTTAAATTATATCTTATGGATAGTTTATAATATGCACAAAAATGCTTCATTTTCTTGCCATACTTCAGGGAATGAATGGTCTTGTTTCATTCATTTTGGTACCTGCTGGTGTATCCTAACTAATACAGCAACAAGCAAGTCCTAGAAAATATGGAAAATGTTTTACCAATTGAAAGAAGAGCTAATGAAAGAAATGTAGGTCCTTACCTTCATAAATATCAAGCACTTCCAATCAGTTTCATTTGTACCAAGTGACATTTACATAAACATCCTGAAAGAAGAGTCCAAGAAAAATGAACACAAGGGAATTAGTTAGTATTTATCTTTTGACTGCATTTAAAAGATGCCATTTAAAAGATTGCATTTAAAAGATGGAAAATGAGAGATTAGTTATTCAGTCAGTGTTATCAGGAAGAAAGGTCAAATTAATTTTTTCAATAAGGTTTTTTTCAGTGGTTACAAAGTCACTAATCAGTTTCATCAATGTAGTTGAAAATAACACAGATTCCACCAACTGCATTACCTCTGACATAGCTGGCTTACACCATCAATTAGGTGCCGGCAGAGACTCGAGAAAGAGGACATGTGCAAGATGAAAGTGCCCTTTGCAGCTGGCTGCCAGAATGTGGCTGAAACCCCTGCTTTTAGGGATTAATTTTGGTGATGAACAATGGTAAGAAGAATTATTAAGTGGAATTGAATTGTGGGTTCAATATTATGATCCAAAAT